AAAAAAAAAAAAAGAAAAGAAAAGAAGAGAATTGCTTTCACAGTAACTTGAGACTCTTGATCGGTTTGGGCCAGTTCCTAGAATGTTCCATATAATTTCCAAAACTTTAGTGTTGACAATGGAGTGTTCATTCCAGGAGACCTGTTCTATAGTGGAAGGTGAGCAATATGGCGGAATCCAGAGTTGAATTGGCATTAGACAGGGAATGCCTCAAGGACATAGCACTTCCTTCCGCTGATCTGCACAGGGTAACCATCAGTCTCTTCACAGGCACGCCGTGGAGACTTCTGCTTCTTTGAGTAAAACGTACAATATTAGGGGCGCCAGGGTGGCTCAGTCAGTTAGGCATCTGACTTCAGCTCAGGTCATGATGTCATGGTTGGTGGGATCAAGCCCTGCATGGGGCTCCGAGCTGGTGATGCAGAGCCTGCTTGGGGTTCTCTCTCTCTCCCTCTCTCTCTGCCCCTTCTCTGCTCTCTATCTCTAAATTAATAAATACACTTTAAAAAAATGTTTAAAAGTGTAAAATATTAGACATCATCTTGTGGTGCTTTCCGACTTTTCACATGGCATCATAGAGTACTAGTTTGATCCTTACGAGCATGTGGCAAATGTTCTTACGTTGCTCTGAACCTTCTCCTCTCGCAGGAATGCTGAGAAGCCATTCCTGCTGGTCCTGTCGTACCTTCACGTGCACACGGCCCTGTTCTCTTCCAAGGACTTTGCCGGAAAAAGCAAACACGGAGCTTACGGGGACGCCGTGGAAGAAATGGACTGGAGCGTTGGTAGGTGTCTTTCTGCCTTCTTTGCTGTGAGTTTCCACCCTGATGCCTTTATACAGCAAATGTTTTCTTTCTTTTCTTTCTTTCTTCCTTCCTTCCTTCCTTCCTTCCTTCCTTTCTTTCTTTCATCAAACGAAGGTAATGAAACACTGATTCTGAGATGTAACAAGTGTCTTTCGCCCCAAGTGCATGAATGTGGCTCATCGCCAGGGAAGAACTGGGTGTGTGGGCCGGCGAGCAGAGGTTAATGGAGAAAAAGAACCAAAAAGTTTTAACCTTTCTCTTGACTGTTCCTGTGAACAATCAAATGTGAGCAACACCTCGTCTGCAGCGCAGTTAGATGAGTGCTGGATTTGGGGATGGAGTGGACCGCGGCCGCCATACAGCCTTGGCTGGCGGCTTGGGGTGGCAGCTACAGGGTCTCCTGGGGATCCTGTCCTCTTGGCTGCATAGTCCGCTGGTTTCCTTTTTAGGGCCCATATTCCTCTCGCCGCCTCTCTGAGGATGCAAACGTTGCCTTGTTGTTTCTGTCCCTTCTCCTTCTTCTTAAGTTACTCGATTCCTGAGAAACCTACCATTTTTTCTAGAGGTGCTGGCAAGACTTACTTGAAACAATATATCGTCCACGTCTACAGGAGATGGTCATGAGCCTGCTTTCTTTCATTTTCTCTGGTACAGCTGAGCAATCTCGGGTCTGTTCTCTAGTGTCTAGGGGAAGCAAAGGAATGGAAAAGCAGTGGGCCCTGAACGCGTCACTCAGATCCTGTCTTTTCTGGTGACATTGTCTTTTGTGTTGACATTGCACAATCCTTACGGACAAAATGGGACAAAATTGTCCAAATGTCACCAGTCAGCAGGTTGCTTAGGATTTTCATGTGTTTGTTTTCTTTTCCTTTTTTCGCCCTCTCTCATTCTTCCTCCTTTTCTTTTTTTGCACTGAATTGGTAGTTTTTAACTTTTTCAACTAGATCTTTTGGAAATACTGTAACATGGCCACAGAGTGGTTTTTGGGTTTTTTTGGTTGATTTGTTTTAGGCAGCAAATTGAATGTGATGATGGTTGCCTACTGTGGTGATTACAAGAACAGTTTTGTTTTGTTAAATCTTGGTGTGCTGTCTTAAGAAACCAGAGGACTGGACCCTTATTCTAGCTTCCAGCTCTGTGTTTACTGTCTCTGTGAACTTGGGAAACATCTTGAATCTCTAGGCTTCATGGCTGTCATCTTAACATGAAGAATTCAGACGAGGCAGGTCCTCACTGTGTGTCTTCTCTGCGGATCTGAGAGTCTGCAAACTAACAGAAAGGGGGACGTATGATAATTACCGGGATACTGGAAACCAAAACTTTCCCTGTCACAAGACGTGTGAGACAAATCCATTGCAGTGGGCCTTTTCCATACGCCAGGACAAGCCTGCCTCTTTTCTCGTTTGCTTCTTTAAATGTTGCATGTAAATCCGTTTATATTTTCCACTTCTTGGTAGTGCGAATTGGTAGAATGTTTTATCTCGTTGATGAGCATTAGGTTTCAAATAACAGGTTGCTTATAGGACTCTAAGACATTTGCTGGCTAAGCCAGCAGGCTTGTGCTGGTATCGTGAAACGTACTTTTATTTAATTATAATCCCACATATGTGTACCCTGACCCATCACAAAGTCTGACGTTGAGTGTTGCATGTAGAATGGTTCCGTCTAGAACCCGGTTCCGTCTTGAACGAAACGGAGAGTATTTTTCAGTCTTTGAGATCTACGTTCGGACCTGACGTCACATTTGCAGATGATCTTGTTTCTTTTGCCGAAACGTGAAATCCTCCCCGTGAGCCATGACATTAGTTGCTCGGGATGTGTTTGCTGTCTTACAAATCCGGTACCTCTGAGTGTTTCGATGAGCATTCCCACTTTCCAAGAAGAGCCTTTCCCTACGACACCACAGGACTGCAACATTCTCAATAATTGTGTAATAAAATGGGGACGTCTCCTTAAAAATGATGCGTCCTGCACAAAAGGCACCTGAGATAGCAGTGGGTAAGTGAAGAGGGCACATCTCCGTCATTCCGAGCATTTCTTTCAAAATTGGTGGAGGCCGCATAATTCCATGGAGGATAGCTTTCTCCACCGCGGCCCGTCTGTCCCCGTAAAGGCATATTCAGGGCAAAAGCACCTTTGTTATTTAATTGTGCTCCAAGGCCACTTCCACGCCACATCCGTGTGTCCATTGCCTTATTCTTAGCTGGGTGATTGCACTGTCGTGCACTGCTTAATCACTGAGGGCAGTGAGCACACAGATCTGGTGTGAGGGCCACAGAAGGGGCCGTGCAGAGCCACAATGTGGGTGCTAGCATCCTGGAACCGTATTACCTCTAAGTAACCCTCAGGGTGGTCAGCGTTCCTCAATAATGCCAGTCACTGGCAGCTCAGCAGGTGCCCCCCAGCTAGCCCTGGCCAGCGCGCGCGTTCCCTCCTGGGTGCTGTGGCCCGTCTGGGCGGCAGGGAGCATGGTGTTCATCTGCGTTCTGCAGGTGAGGCCAGTGAGGGGTGCCGATGACTAATACACCTGCCTCAGGTGTATTTTTTTTTTTTTTTTTTAGAGAGAGATAGATCACGAGTGGTGGAGGGGCAGAGAGAGAGGCAGACACAGAATCCTAAGCAGGTTCCAGGCTCTGAGCTGTCAACACAGAGCCTGACGTGGGGCTCGAACCCACAAACCGTGAGATCATGACCTGAGCCGAAGTCGGACGCTTCACCGACTGAGCCACCCAAGCACCCCAGGCCTCAGGTGTATGAATTACAGAATTAATAATACGGGATGAGCAGGAACCCGAACGTAGGTGTTCAGCCGGAGCGTGAAGTCTGCAGCCCGGCGTCTCCTGCTTTCCCAGTAATGAGAAAGGCTGCTTCATAGCACGGAGAAGTCCACACTAAATCACAGGGAAATAGCTCATGCCTTCATCGTGCATGTTTATTGAATGCTGGACTGTGTGCCTGTTCTTTTTTCTTTTTGAGGGAGGGAGTGTGATAATGATAAGTCCCTTGACATAAGGGAATTTAGGAGCCACTGAGGGACTTAAGATTCTTCCAGGAGATGTCATAATAACACAGAGCACAA